TTTATGGGTACAGTATTAATTTTTAAAATCACATAAAGCTATTGGGGCAGGGGAACATTTTCCACCTTATCATCCCCAGGAGGATTTACTGGAAAAATTGGCACAGGTCCAGAGGACGACGATTTTTGCATCAGTCTATAGTCATGTTTCCTTCCTGACCTTGGATTTGCAGAATTTGCTGAACCTACAACAATGAAATGACCATTGCCCTCATCAACCAATGTAGTTGTTTTTCTTGTTGTTTGGATCTAGTGCTACTGATTGAACACAGGGCCTATAGGCAAGTGCTCTACCACTTATTCATGTCCCAGACCCTTTGGTTTAAGGGTTTCAGAACATCTGGCATAATTTTTTTCCAGGCCAGCCTCCAACCTCAATCCTCCTAATTCTGTCTTCTGCTGGGATTACAGATATGCACCACAATTCCTACTACAGACTTCTATTTGCTTTACTTTCAGGGACATGTATCAGGTGTATCCTTCGATTTCAAAGCTTTAGAACTAAAAATATATTGAATGGAAGAGTAGTATCAATATTCTATCCATCTACAGTTAACCAACTTTTAATTTTTATGATCAGAGAATTACACATTGCTTTCTTTGGTTTGAAAAGTTTAGTGTAAGTGCATACATGTTGAATACTATGAAATAGCTAAATTTAAGTCTGAAAATTATTTCATGTCAAATTTTGTCTAACCTGAGCTATGTGTGGTGTATGCCTGTAAGTCCAGCACTTGGAGGCTGAGGCAGGGGTATAGTAAGTCCCAGACTAGCCTGGGCTACACAGTAAAACCTGTCTTATAAAGCACCAGTGAGATGGGGCTGGGAAGGTGGCTTAGTGGTAAAGCATTTGCCTTGCATGCATGAGGCCCTGGGTTTGATTCCTCAGCACCACATAAGCAAAAAGAAAAAGAAGCCGGAAGTGGTGCTGTGGCTCAAGTGGTAGAGTGCTAGCCTTGAGCTGAAGAGCTGAGGGACGGTGCCCAGGCCCAGAGTTCAAGCCCCACAACCGGGCCCCCCCCAAAAAAAAAGTACCAGTGAGGGAGGGACATACATAAGCAACAACAACAACAACAAAAATCACGTGGCACCTTATAAATACGTTAGAAACAATAGCAAGAAAGAAAAAACCACTTGTGTCCCTATCTTGGAGTTCATTTCACCTGACCTTTTCTGCTTGTCCCAGACATATACTAGTTATTGCAAATAAGGGAAACCATGGGACCTATGTTTCTTTGGGCTTGGCTTACTTCACTTAATATAATTTTTTCCAAGTCTTTCCATTTCCTAACAAATGGGGCAATGTCATTCTTTCTGATGGAGGCATAGAATTCCATTATCTATCTATCTATCTATCTATCTATCTATCTATCTATCTATCTATCTATCTATCTATCTATACCATAGTTTCTTGATCCATTCATCTACTGAGGGGCATCTGGGTTGGTTCCATATCTTAGCTATGGTAAATAATGCTGCAACAAACATAGTTGTGCTGGTAGCTTTGGTATGGTCTTGTTTGTAATCATTCAGGTAAATGCCCAAAAGTGGGATTGATGGGCCATAGGGGAGCTCTATGTGGAGTCTTTTGAGGAACCTCCATACTACTTTCCAAAGTGGTTGAACAAGTTTACACTCCCACCAACAATGCAGTAGGGTTCCCTTCTGGCCACATCCCCTCCAGCATCTGTTATTAGAGTTCTTGATTATAGCTATTCTAACTGGGGTTAGGTGGAATCTCAATGTTGTTTTGATTTGCATTTCTTTTCTGGCTACAGAAGTTGAGCATTTCTTCATGTGTCTAATGGCCATTCTTATTTCCTCTTCAGAGAAGTTTCTCTTTAAGTCTTCAGCCCACTACAGTATTTTCACAACAAAAATTTAATTAAAAAAAAAAAAAAGCAGGAGCTGGGAATGTGGCTCAGTGGTAGAGCGCTTGCCTTGCATGCCTGAGGCCCTGGGTTCGATTCCTTAGCACCACATAAGCAAAAAGGAAAAAAAAAAAGCAAAAAAAAAAAGTACTAGTGATTCATTCCTATAAACCTAGATACTCAGGAAGCTGAGATCTGAGAACCAAGGTTCAAAGCCAGGATGAGCAGTCAAATTGGAGAGATTATTTCTAATTAATGAGAAAAAATAAAAAGAAGTGGGAAGTGGGGGTATATCTCAAGTGGTGGAGCCCCAGCACTGAGAGGAAAAGGTAAGCAAGAGCATGGGGACCCGAGCTTAAGCCCCAGTACCATCACACACAAAAAATTAATTTACATATGAATCTTGTATTAAAAGCAAATACTAAGTTCAAAAAATTTCATGGTAAATGCCTAATAGTATTCTCTACTGATTAAATTTCAGTCTAAATCTCAAAAATTTATTTCTTCTATACCTTTGAAGTTTTTCCCCCCAATTAGAGATTAAAAACAATAATCACATGTGCATCAGGTTTAGAGTAGCGCTTTATTCAGAGATTTGCTTTTGTCTATTGTCTTCAGTCTAGATGTCATTATCAACATTACATAAGGTATCATAAAGTAGATTAACAATTTATTAAATATCTAGTATATGAGTAGAATGCACAAATGAATAAGTTAAAAAAGAGGTTACCTGAAAAAGTATCTGTCCACATAGGTAAGAATGCTTGGCTCATGCCTGTAATCTTAGCTATTCAGGAGGCTGAGATCTAAAAATCATGGTTTAAAGCCAGTCTGGGCAGGAAAGTCTGAGACTCTTACCTCTCATTAACCACCTAAAAGGCTGGAAGTGGATCTGTGGCTCAGTGGTAGAGTGCTAGCTTTGAACAAAACAGCTCAGAGACACTGCCCAGGCCCTGAGTTCAAGCCCCAAACCTTCCCACCCCTACCCCCAAATGCTTGGTCCAAGTTAACTAAGCCATTAACCACTGAAGTAAGGGAGAGAGTAAGTTCTATTCACTTTGTCTCTTTCACTCTTATGTAACAAAGGTTAAGGTGAGGATAAACACAAAAGGAAGTTTGGTAAGGAAGTATAAACCAGAAAGTGGTATGTGTAATATTTCCTAAGTTTAAGGGTAAGCAAAACATGTGCTATAGTTTTTTTTTTTTTTTTTGCTGCTTGTAAATAATGTTGAAAGGGGGCAATCTTTGGAAAAAGAGACAATTTATGACCAGATTCACAAGGTAACTGAGAACTACAATACATTCTTTAAAAGGAAAAGAACCAATTGAAGTAAGAATATCATTTTGACTTGCATAAGTCTCAATTAGCATGGCACTGAAGAAAATGACTGCCTATACTTCAAGTGATCATTAAGAACTTTGACTCTAGACTGGTACTGGGGAATATTGATACATAATGTACGCAAGAACACAGCCCCATAGCAGGTACAGATAATGCATTTACTTTTCAAAACGCCAAAGCAAATATATGAGAAAACCCTTTATACCTGTATTCAAGATTAAACTTTTTAAAAAAAATTACCAGTATTTAAGTGCAGTATTATTTCAGTTAAGGACATTACTCAAGATCTTCTGAAAATTTGAGGGTGAGGATGTAAAAAGCACAATTATAGCATAATGGGAAAAAAAAACCCTACCATAGATGCAGCAAAACTTATAGAGCAGGTATTTTGTGTCCACACTGTGCTAGCTGATTCTCTGGATTACTCTATTGCTTTTCCATGTCACGTTCCAGTTTGCTCAGTCACCCTTACCTCATACATTTATGAGCATGATATTTAGAATACAGCTTGGCTCTCTTATCCCATAAGAGCGTTACGTTCTCAAACAATTCTTCATCTGAAGCAGGGAGTGAGTGGGGGGGAGGGGGAGCAAGAAGAGAAGGCTCCATTTAAGTTATGCTAAATACTTGGGACAACTTTCTCGGTACTGTTGGTGCTATCCACAGAGTCTTTCAGAAATCCCCAAACTTGTACACCAAAGGGCTTGCGGAGTTAAAACAAGCAAAAAAAAAAAAGACTAAACAAAAACCCAGCCGCCCAGCCATCGAACACCCATTTCTCAGCTGCTGTTTTCTTTGCCTTCAGGTTCTCAGACAGCAGGGATGCTCCTCTGGGTGTGAAGGGGGGTCGAGGGAATCTCGCGAGTGCCTCCCAGGACGCGGGCGGGGGAGGGAGGCCCAGGTGACGGCAGGTGAGCCCGTGGGGAAGTGAGACCGGCGCAGCGTGGGCATTACTCATTCCGCTTTCCTGCGGGCGGAACTTCTCGCCTCTCTTTCGGTCCAGCTGAAGTTCAACCGAACTGAAGTCACTTCCCATCCTGGTTCGCTCGAGGGGGGGCGGGGAGCGGTGCGTCCCCGCGCGGGGCACGGGGGTGGGGAGGGGTGGTGGGTCAGCACGGAGCTGGGCAGGTGGCCGGGCGTCCCCACCCTCCAGGGCTGGGCTCCCCGCCGCTGCCCTTCCCCCGACCGCGGGAGCTCCCGAACACCCCCTCCCCGCTCCCCCCCACCACCGGCAGCACCGGGCGAACCCGCACGCGCGGGAGCGGGGCCCCAACCTCCGGGAAGAGGGCGGCAGAGGGGGCTCGCCCCGCCCGCAGGCCCGTTCCGAGGGCACCGGGCCCGCAGCCCAGGGCCAGCCCGCCGGCGCCCCGCACCGCGCAGCGGGTGTGGCCAGTCCACAAGCCGCCCGCTGCGGAGCCTCTTAACTTTTACCTTTCCCGCCGTGCCAGCCTGCCGCCCTGCTGACCCGGTGGCCCACCAGCTCCCCAACGCCCCCGGCCCTCGCCCCCACACAGCCCTACACCTGAGGGGAAACCCAAAACAAAACTTTTTCCTCTCCACTCAGTTCAAACTCCGCAGCCTCCACGGTTGCCGCAAACCATCCCGTCCCTAGCAACAAGGTTCCGGCCGTAGAGCGAGCGCCTCTAGGTGTAAGGAAGGTGATGTCGTAAAGCCGCGAGTGTCGTAAACCAGGTGCGGTGGGGAGGGGGAGGGGTGGAGGCGGAGGGGTGAGGGGGGAGCAGGGGGAGGGAGGGAGGGAGGGCGGGAGGGGGAGGAGGTGACTCGAGCATTTAGACACAGGCGAGAGGATCATGGCGGATGGCCCCAGGTGTAAGCGCAGAAAGCAGGCGAACCCGCGGCGCAATAACGGTGAGTGGCGGAGGGGACCCGGGAGCGGCGGAGTCAGGGGGAGCCGGGCAGCCGGGGCGCCCCGAGGGTGAGGGGGGCGAGCCGGGCTGGGGGCGGCCGGGGCAGGGACGGGCAAAGTGGAGTGGGAAAGTAGAAAGTAGTGCTCTGCCCCCCTCCGCCGCCGCCGTGCCGAGGCGCCCGCGGCCGCCCGCTCTCCCCGAACCGTTATGTCTCTTACCTGGGCTCTCTCCGCCTAGCGGCTCCGGCCGCCTGCCGCCTCCCTGGACCGTTAGCCGCCGCCGCCGCCGCCGCGGCCGCATCCCCGGCGCAGGGAGGGCGGCCGGACGCGGCCGGCGACTTTTCTGGTCCCGGGTGGAGCGGCTGTTGCTTCTTTCCGCACTTTTCCCCACTCTTTTCGCCCCCCGGCGCCTCCCGCTCCCCTCCTCCGCGGCCGTCTCCGGGTGCTTCGCCCTCGGCGGCGCCCCAGGGCCCCCGGGAGAGCTGAGCCACAAACTTGCGCCCCGCGCCGCCCGGGCAAAGTGGCTTCCGCGCGCCACGGCCACGGCGGGCGCCGGCGCTCGGGCTCCGGGGCCGAGCCGGGCCGGGCTGCGGGCGCCGCGGGCTGCGTGTCGTCCGCGCGCGCGCGTGTCTCTGTATGTGAGTGTGTGTGTGTAAGTGTGCGCGGGCGCCGGCGGTGCGCGCTACGGCGCGGCGCGGCGGGCGGACCGGGCTCGGACGGCGGCGGTAAAGTTGTGACCCGCGCTCTCGCGGAGCGGGGATAGGGCGGCGCGCGGGGCCGTGGGTGCCCCCGGCGCCCCTCCTCCGCGCGCCTCGGGCCCCGCCGCGGCGGGCTCAGGCCTGGGCGCTCGCGGGCGAACCCCCGCGAGTGAGGTCCCTGTTTTCTGAACATCTCGTGGGGCGCCACGGTGGAGGGGTGGCAAGGAAGCCGGACGGGGCGCCTACTTGCTGCTGCGGGGAGCTGCGTGGCTTGGCGGCGGGGTCGGGCGTGCAGCGGTGTTTTGTGGAGTTACTACCTGATCCCAGAGCCCGGGAAGCACCACAGACAGATCCCCCGCCCGCATCGGGACGGGGTTGCACCCATGGCCGCGCTCCGTGCTCTTTCGGTTTTGGGGTGCGGGATGGGGGGGGTGGTGGTTGTTACCTGGGCAGGACGGAGCGCTGAAACTGGGATGGCGCTCTGGGTCTCGAGTGGAGGAGGAGGAAGAAGAGGAAGAGGAGGAGGGTGAGGGGGTGTGGAGTGGAGGTGGGGGAGGGGGCGGACGGACCGACGGACGCGCCCGGGCCGCCGCGGCGGCAGTGTTTATTGATCAGTGCTGGGGTGCCAGGGAAACACACACCCCTTCGACTGGCGTGAGAGTTGTTTTTTAAAAAAAAAAAATTAAAAAGGAAAGAAAGGGAGAAGAAAGAGGGTGAGAGAGCGAACAGACAGACGGACGAGGGGAGAGAGCCGAGGTCCACACATGTGGCGGTGGTCGCACGGTCGCCCTTTCCAGTTTGGACGGACGGTGTAAGTTGATTGCATGTCTATTTATCTGGCGGGGGGGGGGGGGTGGTGGCGGAGAGAGCAATTCGGTGCCTTCTCGGTGTCTAGTTCAGCGGCGAAATGTCTGCTGATTGTTATTGTCTGGACAGTTCCTGTGGCGAGAGGGGCGAGACTCGCCGGCCGGGGGCGGCGGGCGCGCGGCGGGCGGAGCGAGGCCCCCGCCCCGCGCGCGCGCGGGTACCTGTTTGTATAATAATGGGCGGCAACGGCCCTGCGCTGCAGCCGCGGCTATATAAGGAATTGCGCGTGCATTTGGGACGGAGGGCTCGATTTTTTTTTTTCCCCCTCCTGCTTTATTTTCACGAGGACTTTTGGAGAGTGGAAGAATAAATGAGCCCCTGGTGCGATCGCTGTAGCGTCCGGAAAAATGAGGGATTACGTGTTTAAGTCACAACTCTGGCGGTTCCCCCCCCCCCCCCCCCGCGCGCCCAAGCTCCCTTTCTCCCTCCCATCTGGGACGAGAAAGGCGAGGTTTTGTAACCTTTCCTGGCAATTTTAGAATTTGTGTGGGATTTCCTGTCTAGAATCAGATAGGAAGATTTTAGGCTGTTCCAAGATGTTTCCTTTCCATCATAATACGTATTTTTAATATAACTGAGTGGACATTAAAGTCACCACTTCCATGAATGATTTTTACTTTTTCGAATAAATGGTTGCCTTTTAATACGCCTGGTAGTTACGCCGAAAGGTATATTGGTCTCCTCACGGCGGAGGGATGACTTGTTACTGCAAGAAGCAGAGCATAGGCTATTGCTATTTTAATTTCCTGTTTTAGCGTCACGTAGTGTGTGTTCTGTATTGAGCTGTTGGCCGCTGTTGCTGATGTGGCTTTATGAAAGGTAAGTTGGTTCCGAAAGGGCTATTTGCTTTTACCTTATTTAAAATGTTGATCGCCAGAGAAAGGGGCTTTTCTTGTTGCTGACGACATGTGTGTGACATGTGAGTCTGAACCACCCAGCGTCCGTGCAGCTGCTGTAAACATGTTTACCTGAACAGGAAAGAATGGATTCTTCTCCTAGAGATCTTGTGATATGAATATTATACTTGTAAGGCATATCAACAGATGACTTAAGGAGGAAAAAAAAAGCTATCCTGAAAGGTACTTGAAATCAACAGGAAAGAGGTTCTTGATCGCTGCAGCAAATGGCAACTTGTGCAGGTAGAAAAAGATGGTGTTTAGTTTTCTCCTGCATGTCTGTCAGTCCCCTCCTGTCTGCTGATTTCCTTCTCTGGGGAGGATGTATTTATACCCAAGCTTGCTGCCAGTGTTTTTCCTTTGTGTTTAATATTAGAAAAACGGATTTGGGGCTGTTTAGCAGAAACGTCTTGTCTGCGGTATGCGTTGCTCTCAGAAAACAAAAGGTGTTTGAGACAGCACTGTACTACCACAGGTATCTTCCATTTTCATCACTTTTGGCTATGCCCTAGTATTTCTTTTTGTTCTCAAATGCTCCTCATCCATTGCTGATCTTTATAGCCAACCTATATGATTTAGCCTCAGATTTTGCATATGAAAAATGAAGGTATGTGTCATTGTGTTGTGAAACCTCGGGATAGTACCAGTTAATATTTCTTAGTAACGCAGTCATATTTAAGCTGCAGATATTTTGGAGATAATGGTCTGGAAAAATATTAACTCTTAAATCTTTTAATGAAATAATGATGTATACACAATGAGAGGTAATCATAGAAATATTTTGTTATTCATATTTGAACAGTATTTTTATTCATTTTGAAATATGGTATGCAGATTTTTACAGCAAAGGCTTAAGTAAAATATTTTCTTTCTAGACTACATCTGCAAGGTAGGATATTAATGACAGTGTCAGAGTAGAACTACACATAGGTAAACGAGTTGAGCAAGATTTGGCCAAAGCATCAAATCTTGTGGGGTCACTAGGATAATGATGTTAGTCATCTGTGAAGGACTGACATTAGAATTGCTAAAATCGGTTTTTACTACTATAACTTAATGCTTCATTGTGATTTTTAAAAAATTTGTCTCTACTCATTTCCCACATTATATGTGGTTTTCTTCTTCTTTTTTTCCTTACTGTTTTTCTTGACTCAATGTACTCAAGCTACTAAGGACCACATGCTGATTAATTTACCTTCGATAGAACAGCAGGCAGGTACCTTTCTGTCATTAGCACCATTTCTTCTTGCTGTCTTAGGAAACTACCAGTAGAGGATGCTAACAAAAATGATTATTATGCAGTAGTATCATAAGCCTGTCTATCTTCTGTGCTTATTGAAATCTTCTGTATAATTCTGAGTCTTACTGTTACTTAAAACTAGCTCTTAATGAATTAGACATTAGTATTTTCTAGTTTACTGTCATTAGAAAGAAGCAGGAATGTTTTTAACTTGAATAATTTTTTATAAATTTGAGCTTTTTAAATCTTGATATTCATCCAATCTGCTTTAAAGCAGACCTTTTTTTTCTTTTAAAAGAAGTTTATGTTCTTAGGCTTGGAGAAGGACAGGCAATGACTGCTTTTATTTATTTTGTGTATCTGAATTTCCTCTTTTTGTTCAGCATAAGATTCCTGCAAATATATCGTCTTTCTTTTCAAAAAATGAAATGGCTAAGTATAGTAAGGAAATTGCAATTGATAAAACAAGGTAACAAGTTTTCCATAACTTACATAGACTTGAATTGTAACGGGATTTGCAGGTGCTGCTAATATATTTGTTAGCCAGCAGTCACTCAGATGTTAGTGGTTTTTAGATTTTATCTTTTCTTGTAAGTCCCTTTCCTACTGGTGGCCCTTCTTCACTCCATTTTCTAGTTAAGTATCGGTATATAAATTTAAATCTATTAACTAAAAGTTAAAGAATATAAATTTATTTCGAGTCTTTAAATTAAGAGTCTAGGCTTATTAATTGTTGTACACTTACGCTCTGCTCAACAAACCATAAAAATTGAAATTATAACTTGAGAGGTGTGTGTGTGTGTGTGTGTGTGTGTGTGTGTGTGTGTGTGTGTTGGTCCTAAGACTTGAACTCAGGGCCTGAGTACTGTTCCTAGCTTTTGTGTTCAAGGTTAGTAATCTACCACTTGAGCCACAGCTCCACTCTGACTTTTTGGAGGTTAGTTGGAGATAAGAGTCTCACAGACCTTCCTGCAAAGGCTGCCTTCAAATTATGATCCTCAGATGTCAGCCTCCTAACTAGTTAGGTTTACAGGCATGAGCTACCAATGCCAGGCTGAAATGATAACTTACATGAAAATGATTCTGTGAAGTTTAATGTGTTTAGTTATGCCTTTGTTTTCTACGCACATGGTTATGTTGATATAACTACAGTTTTTGAGCCTTGCATTAGCTCAAATGTTAAAAGTATTTATTTTTCTAATTTTAAATGTTTCTGTAAATGCTCTAATGCCAATACCATAATGAAACAGTTAACACTGTTGATAGTGACTTACGTAGGAATTATCTAAACTATCAGGTGA